AATCAAGAACTTCATTTTTAATCATGCCTAACTCCTAAGACATATTGGGGGACTATTCCTAAATAAACCAAATATTTGCAAATAATTAAAAATAACCAGAAAAAAAAGAGCTAGGGGGCTTCCCTGGTGGCGCAGTGGTTGAGAGTCCGTCTGCCGATGCAGGGGACGTGGGTTCATGCCCTGGTCCGGGAAGATTCCACATGCCGCGGAGCGGCTGGGCCCGTGAGCCATGGCCGCTGAGCCTGCGCGTCCAGATCCTGTGCTCCACAATGGGAGAGCCCACAACAGTAAAAGGCCCGCGTACTAAAAAAAAAAAAAAAAAGAGCTAGGAAAGTTCTTTTGTCCTCAGATTTTATTCTACATCTACATCTGCAAATGTAATGAGTCACAATTTGTCCATTTACTGGATACCATTTGGAGGAGGAAAATTTTTTTGTTTTTGAAAAGAATAGGATTATTTTAGAAGCGTGATGTAGTGGAATGAACGTGGGCTTTAAAATCAGGCAGGCAAAGGTTTGTCTTTTGACCTTATTTTTCTTATGATCTGCCAGGCAGTGTTCCAAGAACTTTATATGTACTGAATCATTAAATATTCACGAAAACCTGATGAGGCGTTTTGCAAATGAGGAAACCAAGGCTCACAGAACAGTTAAGTGTTAGGGTGCTTATCTCATTGCTTTTGGGTTATTTGTATGTTTGTTTCTCTAAAACAGAGTGACTCTTTGCAGGGAAGGTCTTATTAGTATTTGTTTTCCCAGCACCTAGTACAGGTTCGTATGTCTCCAGTTCAGCTGGTGAATATTTGATTTATTGATTTTTTTTTTGCTTCCATAAAATGAAGACACAATAGTCACAACAAGATAACATAAAATTAAATTGTTTAGTTAAAATATCAGTGTTTTCTCTGTTTTCTTTGAGTGAAAAAAATACGTAATTAAAAAAAAATTACACAGTGAGAAATCCTAGGTTCTAGTCTCTAGATTTAGTTTTAATCTCAGTTATACATGCACAGAATTCAAAGAGTCCAGGGGTTGTACAAGGCTTGTTACAAAACTCAGCGGTCTCCCAACTCTTACCCCCACCCCAGTCCCTGCTCTCTGAAGTTCAACTCTGAGACCTAATTGTTTTGTTATTTACCTCCAGATCTCCAAATAGCATGTTGCTCTTTTTCCAGTTTTAATTTTTCAGTCTTAGGCATTACCTTTGACTTCTCATGATAGGGGAAGAGGATTTATCTTTCTTATGCACCCTCACTCTATATGCAGAACCCTCCTACCTTCTCGTTATAATTAAATTTTGAATAATAATCAGTGTGTACATTATTATGACCATGAAAACATTATTCACAGCTGAGGCATATAATCCATGGTTACTTTTTCTTTCCAACACAGCTTTTTGTTTTCCCTGGTGTCAATAATTGTCTTTTTTTGGAGAGAAGACGTTTGCTTACTTAGAGTTTATGCATTTGTCACTTATTCCTCCCTAAACTCTTCCCCAGATGTCTAAATATAGTTAGGGTATGTGACCTTGACCCTGTTGTTTAACTCTTCAGCTAAAATATTTTGTCATTTATGGTGTGAAAGGTCCAGACGACATGAAGACTTACGCTACTCGTATCTTTAAAACTTTATGGTTGCATGAAACAGACATCTGGATATTTTGTGCTGATCACATTCTTAGTGGACAGCACTGCCAGCCAGCACACAGTCCTCCTATCTGACCTTGGTGGTCTTTTCTTGGGTAGCTGGAGCGTCTCTACTCCAGGGCGGCATGGGACTCAAGGTCTGGCTGGAAGTGGAGCCCCACTTGTGTGTGACCAAGACTGCTAGTCAGCAAAAGCTGTGTCAAGCATGCATCACAAGCTAGCAATACCCTCAGTCCATCCAGAAGATCAGAGATTCTTTGATTAGGGAGATTTACTTGAGTCTTTTGACAGGTGGAAGCACTGGTTATCTTTTACAGTGAATAGTCATAGAAGGAGAGTGGATACATAAAGTTGCCAGGGTGAAATACAGAATAAATGGCATAGAAGATATGAGCAGACATTAATTAAAATTTTGTTTGAAACAAAAATAAAACAGAAAAAACCCTTGGCAGTAGCTTCTCAGAGATTGTTGGAAAAAATAATGTTGGAGACCTAAGCATGAATGATCCAGTGACTCTAAGCTTTGTGGATGTTTTGTTTACCTCTGTCATAGACCTGGTATGCTTGTGAATAGTGTCTGAGATGTTATTTGGGGGGATGTCATAATTACTTTATCTATGTGTAGAAGAAAAACTAGAGGACAGAATGAGTCTGTCCTGTTTTCATAGAGAATTTGCTACAGAAGCTGTCATTATCGACGGCCAGCACTAGGAGGCCACAGAGACCGTGATTCTGAAGGACTCAGGTTCATGCATCTTTCCTGTTGGAGTTGAAAAAGAAACCTAGGGTAAAAAGCCCAGTTGATGTGCTGTAAAAACTTAAAATTTAGGAACAGATAAACTAGATAGTCATCCTAGTTTTCATAATGCAGTGATAAATGAGTTGAAAATATGCAATGCTGCTTCTCTATATGCTTGTGACGTTGTTTGTAAATAAAATAAGCAAAGTGTGTCTTCTTACTAATGCACTTTTTAAAATTGTACTTCTGGTTTTTAGTTCTTGAACCTCTGGATCCAGGCCCTGACTACCTTAGGCTTGGATGATTTCAGTAGCTTCTTAATTGATGACACTTTTGGTCTCATTTTCCTCCAGTCCATTCTATTTACTGAAAACTAGAGTTTTCATCAGAAATAGTTTTGGCCACGTGTGTCCTCTGACTGGAAACCTTTTTTTTCAAACCCCAAAGACCCAGACACATGTTCGTGGTTTGGAAGACTCAATATTGTTAAGGTGCCCGTTTCTTCCCAACTTGATCTATACGTTGAAGGCCATCCTGATCAAAATCCTAACATGCCTTTTCTAGGAATTGACAAGATCATGCTTAAAGGCTTATATTTATGTCAAAATGTATTGATCCTAGAAGAGCTAAAACAGTCTTGAAAAAGAAAAAGTTAGATGAGTTACACCCACCTAATGTCAAGACAATATAAAGCCACAGTAAACAACATGGTGTTTATGTAAGGAGAAACATAGAGCAACATAACAGAAGAAAGAGTACAGAAACAGAGCTATACATATGTGAGCTATTGATTTTTAACAAACTTTAAGGTAATTCAATGGCAAAGAGCTTTACATTTTTAATAAATGCTCCTGGAACAAGTAGACATCCTATACGAAAAACTAATAAACAAACAAAAATCCTCCTCCCCCATGCCAGACATAAAAATTAATTAAAATATACCATAGACCTAAACATAAGGGCAAAATCATAAAAATTCTAGAAGGAAACAGGAGAACATCCTTGTGGACTTTGAATAGGCACACTTTTTACGGAATACCAAAAACTGAATATTAAGCCTAATTTATATTTTGGTCAGGATTAAAATAATCTGTTCTTCAAAAAGCTGTTAAGAGAATTAAAAGATAAGCCATGAACTAGGAGAAAATATTTGCAATATACTTATCTGATAAAAGAACTGTATCCAAAAATAACCTATATAATGCCTTAACTCTTACCTAAGGAGGAATAATTTTAAATAAATAATTAATTTTAAATGACGTGTTACAATGCATAACTGACGTTGTAAGATGCTTACAATTAGAGAGAGAATTATTCTGAAGGGGACAGCTGGGAATTCAGAATGATACCAGGGAGAGGGTTGCTGTCTATAACGTGAAGGATTGTTGTAAGTCTGAACAAAACTATTTTGTTTTCATGGTTTTTGAATATATATTAAAACTATGCAAAATGTAAAAAAAAAAAAAAAGAATAAGGTGGTCTTTTATTTCTCTGCCTTTCCTGTTAGTGCTAAATATAATATTCTAAAAAGGGAAATATTACCTTAATGACTGTAGCACATCCTACTGGCTGCTTTCCCTGCGACCTTTCACCACTCTCTTCTTTTCTAACAGAATCTCTGTTTGGGGGTTTTCTTTGATTTGCAGACAGAGGTATTTGGCTAACTCCTTCCGCTTCAGTCTCAGTTTAGATTCTCCAGTCTCTCACAGCTCCGTGTACATCTCCTGTCATGGACTTGCTGTACTGTGCTGTGATGGATCACTGTTGGTACCACAATTGACCACAAGCTCTGAGAGAGCAGGAACTTTCTCTTACTCACAGTTGTGCTCTTAGGAACTAGCCTGGTGCCTGGTGCCTGATAAGTTTTTAATATCTATATTTGTTCATATTACCCTGAAAGTAGACACAGGGTTTCTGAGGCAGGGATAGATTATTACTTACGTCAGTAACCTAAGACAAGAGGCTCTGAGTCTGTAACTCTGGAATGTCTCCATGACCCTGGTTTCATCATCCTTCTGAAATGTGAACACATACCTCAGGGGAGATCAATCTTTTACTATCTGTTCAGTCATTTTTTAAGTTTTAAGGCTTGTCCTTTAACCCAGGTCCCAGTAAATTTTCGCAGAAATCTCTGTGCAGAAGTACAAAAATACTCGCTTCATGACAGTGATAAAGTAGGTGCTCAATAAACTATTTGTTAAGTGTTGAACAATTTAAAAGAATAAATTCAACCCAGTGATCTCAACTGGGGCAGGGATTGGGGGCTTTAGTGGTGGGATGTGGGGAAAGTGTAGCAGAATCATGTGGGGGAATTTTTTCTCAACAATATACTTCCTACCCCCAGATTCTGACCTGCTCCTGTTAACTATCATATGCCTTAGGCATTTGGTTTTTTGTGGCCAAAAAGGAGTTGAGAACCCGGACATAGCCTGCCCTGTGTTTGAATCCCTTCTGTGTAGCCTTTCCTATTAAAGTTAGTAATGGAACCATTTGTCTTCACACCTGATTCCAAGGCTGCTGTGTCAGTGTTTACATTTATTCCAAATGATTCTTCTATTTCGTGTTTTTTACGTGGATTTGGTGGGATTTCTTAAAGGGTGTTTCTTTTATTGATAGCTTGCCTTTCTTCAGAGAGAGTCTGAGGCAACTCTACAGCAAAAATACATAAAATGAAAAAGCATATAACAGAAAATCAGAACTAAGATAAAGGTGAGAAACATGCTCATTGATTTAAATTCAGATTTGGTTCTGGTGTTTTTTTGAGGTATAATTGACAGACATTATATTAATTTCAGGTGTACAACATAATGATTTGATATTTGCATGTATTGGGAAGTGATCACAACAGTAAGTAGCATTAGCATCTGTCACCATACAGATTTTCTTTTTCTTGTGATGAGAACTTTTAAGATTTACTTTCGTAGCAACTTTCAAATATGCACTACGATATTATTAACTGTGGTTGTCATGCTGTACATTATCGATACATCTGCAGTGCTTATTTATTTTATAACTGGAAGTTTGTACCTTTTGGCCCCCTTTACCCATTTTGCCCACCCGCTGCCCCTCACCTCTGGCAGCCACCAATCTGTTCTCCGTATCTGTGAGCTTGGTGTTTGTTTTTTTAGATTGCACGTGTATGTGAGGTCATGCAGTATTTGTCTTTCTCTGTCTGACTTATTTCACTTAGCACAATGCCCTCGAGGTCTATCCATGTTGTCATAAAATTTCACTCTTTTTCATGGCTGAATAATATTACATTGTGTGTATATACTATTTATTTATTTTCTTTATCCATTTATTCGTCAGTGGACACTTAGGTTGTTTCCATATCTTGGCTGCTGTAAATAATGCTGCAGTGAACCTAGGAGTACATCTGTCTTTCTGAGTTGGTATTTTCATTTTCTTCAGATGGTACCCAATGGTTCTGTTCTTAACATTTTAAGTCACAGACCCCTTTGATGAAACCTGTGGCTTCTCTTCTGAGAAGAGTGAACACACACACAAACTCAATTTTGCTATAATTTCAGGCCCATCCTTCCCTGTGGAACCTTTTGTTATCAAAGAAGACAAACTATACCCATTCCTTAAAAAGGAAGAAAGTATTCTTCGTATTTATTAGGTTCTAAAAAATTTGTTTCTGTAATAACATATTTCAAACATACAGAAAAATAAATAGAAAATACAAAATCAAATAGCATTTATAATATTTGCTTTAGTTTTTTAAGTAATAAAATATCACAGACAAAACAGAAACTTACTGTTTAGCATTTTTGACTCTATTCTCCTCTCTTCCTCCTTAGTAGAAACCACTATCTTGAATTTAGTGTTTAACATTTCCACACGTATTTTATACTCTTACTGCCTTTGTATACAACTGTATACATGCATACATATAATATTTTACATGATTTCAAACATTTTTTCTTTATTGTGGTAAAAAACACGTAACATGAGATCTTCTTTCTGAACAGATTTTTAAGTGTATGGTACATTATTGTTAACTCAGCGCAATGTTGTCCAGCAGAGCTCTAGAACTTCTTCATCTCGCATGACTGAAACTCTATACCCACTGAACAGCAACTCCCATCTCCCCCTCCCCTCCAGTCCCTGGTAACCACTGTTCTACTTTCTACTTCTATGAGTTAGACTGCTTTAGCTACCTTATTATGTAAGTGGAATCATGCACTATTTGTCCTTCTGTATCTGGCTTATTTCACTTAGCATAATGTCCTCACGGTTCATCCATGTCACATATGACAAAGCTTCCTTCTTTTTATGGCTGAATAATATTCCGTTGTATGTTTACCCCCCATTTTCTTTATCCATTCACCTGTTGATGGACATTTAGGTTGTTTCCACCTCTTGGCTGTTGTGAATAATGTGGCAGTGAACATGGGAGTGCAGATATCTCTATGAGATCCCAATTTCAATTCTTTTGAATAAAGATCCACAGGTGGGATTGCTGGATCATATGGTAGTTCTATTTTTAATTTTTTTAAGGAGCAACGATTACTGTCTTCCACAGCAACTGTCCTATTTTACATTCCCACCATGCACACAAGGATTCCAGTTTATATGCATACTTGTCAGCACTTGTTAATTTCTGTTTTTTAAAAATAATGCCCATCCTAATGGGTGCGAGCTGATATTTCATTGTGATTTTGATTTACATTTCCTTCATGATTAGTAGTGTTGAACATCTTTTCATATACCTGTTGTCCATTTGTATGTCTTCGTTAAGGAAAAGTCTATTTAAATAGGGGGTTACATGATTTTTCTTTTTGCTACTGAGTTGTAGAAGATACTTATATAGTTGGGATTTTAATGCCTTATCAGATACATATATGCAAATATTTTCTCTTACTCTGTGGGTTGCCTTTTCAATCTGTTGATTATTTCTTCGGCTGTGCAGAAACGTAACATTGCTTTTTTTGGTAGCATTTATTTATCTTTGGTATTTGTGGCTGTCCTTGATTCTTTTAAATATATGTAGTATTTCGTTATAAGCCTATATCACCATATGTTTATCCATTCTCCTGTTAATTCATGTTTGAGTTGTTTCCAGTTTTTTGCTGTTACAAACAGTGCTAACAAATACTCTTACATATGCCTCCTCATGGACATGTGCCAGTTTTTTCTCCAGTGCACATATTCAGGAGTGGAATTGCCTGGTCATAGATATGAGCTTCTTTACCTTTATTTATTTATTTATTTATTTATTTATTTAAAGATGATGTTGGGGGTAGGAGTTTATTAATTTATTTATTTTGGCTGTGTTGGGTCTTCGTTTCTGTGCAAGGGCTTTCTCTAGTTGCGGCAAGCGGGGGCCACTCTTCATCGCGGAGCGCGGGCCTCTCACTATCGCGGCCTCTCTTGTTGCAGAGCACAGGCTCCAGACACGCAGGCTCAGTAATTGTAGCTCACGGGCCTAGTTGCTCCGCGGCATGTGGGATCTTCCTAGACCAGAGCTTGAACCCGTGTCCCCTGCATTGGCAGGCAGATTCTCAACCACTGTGCCACCAGGGAAGCCCTGTATCTTATTTTTTAAAGCCCTCATTATAGCAAGGATTTTTTTTCTAAAAGTTTTCAAAATTTTTTTCACATTTATGTCTTTAATTAGCCTGATAATGTTTCTCAATGGCGTGAAACAGGGATTTAATTGTACTTCCTTACAGATGACCTATGTCTTAGCACCACTGTTCAATAGTTCATCCTTTCCCCTGATTTACAGTACTGCCTCTATTACATATCAAATTTCCAAACATATATGTCTTTTTCTGGGTGTTCTGTTGCTTTCATTTGTCTGTACTGTGTTACCGTGGTTTAACATGTCTTAACATTTTGGAGGGCATGTTGCCTGTGTTCTTCTTCAAGTTTGTCAAGGCTATTCTTGGCTCTCTTTTTCTTAAGAAGGACCCTGTAGAGAGTTTTATTAGAATCAGATTGAAATCCCACTCCATTTAAGAATATTTATCAGGTCTTCCATCCACAAACATGGTTTGTTTTTTCATTTACTCAACTTTGTAATTTTCTCTGTAAAGTGCTTGAAACTTTCTTGTTAGATTTATTACTAGAAATTTATTATTAGCTTATAGCTTTTAATTGCCTTCTTTCTCCTTTTCTTTTCTTTTTTCCCTTTCTTCTTTCTTTCTCTCTTTTTTAATTTAAGCCTAGTTGACATAACATTATATTTGTTTCAGGTGTACAATGTAATGATTTTCATTTTTTATGTATTGGAAAATGACCACCACAATAAGTTCAGTTGACATCTTTCGCCATACATAATTACACAATTCTTTTTCGTGATGACAACTTTCAAGATCCATTCTCTTACTTTCAAATATGCAACACAGTATTATTAACTGTGGTCACCATGCTATACATTACATCCGCATGACATTCATTTTATACCTGGAAATTTGTACTTTTTGATTACCTTCACCCGTCTTGCACCCTGCTTCCCCCCCGCCCCTGTACCACATGCAGCCACCAGGTCTGTTTGCTCTATCCATGAACTTAGGGTTTTTTTTAAAGTTTCTATTTATTTATTTTATACATATGTTGTATTTATTTATGGCTGAGTTGGGTCTTCGTTGCTGCATGCGGGCTTTCTCTAGTTGCTCTGAGCAGGGCCTCCTCTTGGTTGCTGTGCACGGGCTTCTCATTGCGGTGGCTTCTCTTGTTGCGGAACATGGGTTCTAGGCGCGCAGGCTTCAGTAGTTGTGGCGCGTGGGCTCAGTAGTTGTGGCTCACGGGCTTTAGAGCGCAGGGTCAGTAGCTGTGGTGCATGGGCTTAGTTGCTCCGCGGCATGTGGGATCTTCCCAGACCAAGGTTTGAACCCCTGTCCCCTGTATTGGCAGGCAGATTCTTAACCACTGTGCCACCAGGGAAGTCCTGCCATTTTAAATGGTAGCTTTTCCTAATTAAATTACAAAGTGGTGTTTTTTGACTTCTAGGAATTACATTCATTTCTGTGTATTGACCTTATATCCAGCAACATTGATAAACTTGTTTTTATATTACTGTTAATAGCTTGCCTTCATAATTCTCTTTATAAATAATTATCACTTGGAGAAATTTTGTCACTTAATTTAAAATTTTATATCTCATTTTTATTTCTTTTACTACATTGACGACCTCTATGCTGTCGAATAGAAGCGATAGTTGTCTTCTTGGTCTAATTTCCTGGCTTTTAAAGGAAATACTTTATTTAATCATTAAGTATCGTTTTGTTATAGGTTTTTGGTGAAATTAAGAAAGTTCTTTCTATTCTTGATATGCTAGGATTATTATTTTTTTAATCAGGAAGGTGAGTAAAGAATTAACCAAACCATTCTCATTGTGTAAGGACAAACCTGACCTTGGATGGACTTTCTACTTAATTTCTCTGAATCCCAATAAGGGGGAAAGTCAACCATGTTACTGGGCAACACTGCTTATGGTAAAAATGATCTTTATTTGGACTGGGAGGAACTATGCATGAACTCTAAATTCTTGGTTAGAAGCAGTAGCTTTGAGCTTCCCTGGGGCACTTTTCAGAGATGGGTATGAACTTCATGGGGACCCTGGAAGCTGTGGCTGGGATAGTTATTTGAGGTATTGGTTTCTGTTTGGGACATAAGGCTTCTAAGCCAGTGTGACTCTGCACTTACCCTGTGATTCTCATTTCCTTGCACCTGAGCTGTCATCTGAATGCCCAAGAGAATAGCTCCTGGTTGGCCATGTGGACTCTTAGGTGGACTCTTCCCGTGAGGAGGAATACCTGGAACTGCCTTGCTGGCGTGCTGTGTTTTCTTCTTATGCTTTCTGAGTAGATGGCTGCTACTTGTGGCCTTTGGTAAGTGGGTAGCTCAGAATGTGTAGAGAGAAGTCCCCACATGGGCAGTGCACAGTGCATCCAAGCAAAATACAGAAGGAAGTGTTTACTGGGGCTGATCTGAGTTTATTGCTCTCACTTATAACCTTCAATTTCTAGTTTTCACCCATTGGAAAACTCATATTCACATTGACTACAAATTAATATTATAAATTTGAACTTATAATAATAAATATATAGAATATACCATTTTAATTTTTTATGTATTAGGTTTGGTTTATGTTTGCCAACTCAGAAATGGTTCTGCTACTAAAAAAAGTTTGATAACTAATGTTTTAGACCCGTATGGTCCAATGGGTAGGTATTTGCCCTTCTAATATAGCTTTTAAAATTAAGTAAAACTTTTTAAAATTAAAAGTGAATATAATTAAGAATTCAGTTCCTTGGTTGTACTGACCTCGTTTGAAGTGCTCAATAACCACATGTGGCTAGTGACTCACATACTGGACAGTGTAGTTTTAGAATATTTTCATCATCACAGAAAGTTCTGTTACGACAGACTTTCTAGCTATTATTTTTTACTCATTCAGATTACCTGAGAGCTTTATATTTTTACTGTATATGTTATTTGCTTTAAGAAACTGCCGGATGAGCCAGTCAAGGTATCTATCAGGGACAGTATTGAAGACCCCAGTACATTACTGTATAATGATCTGCTAGAGACATCTTTCTCAGATTGCATAGCAGGACAAATTCTGTTTCTCCTGAGACTTACCATTGCATCATGGCTAGTGTGAATTTTGTAATTGATTGGCTTTCACTTTTTGCTTTATCAACCAGATGGCGTAAGCCCACATTTATGGCCTACGTAACTGCATGCTTTTTTCTCTTATTTGAATTTTTATATTTGTAAAATACAATTTTATTGTAATGTCTGCATCTTTATAGATTGTAACAAATGCTTTGAGAAAAGAGGTAGAGTATAAAAATGGTAATAAATCAGTACTTTCAAGATTTCGATGGATACTTTTGTCACTTATTACTTTATTGACTTATTAGGAGCCGCTTGTTACTGAACCTCAGGACTGAAAAGACGTGAAGGAGCTAAAAACAGTTCTTGGCTGGTTATGATTACAGTATGTGCACATGTGATCTGGACTGCTTTACGGATGAGGCGACTTAGAATGTACACCTGTCCTAAACCAGGTTTAATTCACTTTTCTAAAACGTTTGTATTTTTCAAAATAATGTTTGAAGAACTGTCTTACTAAAATACTTCGTAAAAATTTCAGACTTTTTAATATTGCTAGGGAGGTTCAACCAAGAACCTATTTGAGTATTCAAACTGGTTAACCGGGCTTAAACAGAGACTAGAGGACTGTTTTATTTCTTTGTGGAGTCTTCTGTATCTTTTAGATAACAGAGAATTTAATTCTGGGCCTTTGTGGCTTCTCAGTGTACTTTTCTCTTTTTTAAAAAATGTCTTCTGGAACTTATAAGCAGGTCAACATTAGATATGTCTTTACTGTTTTAAACATTTTGCAACTTTCCTTGCTTCTGCAAACACTTAAAGCAGCTTACAAATTTCAGGCCAAAAGTAAAGTAACTTGATATAAAAATAAAACCAATCTCACCTGAAAGAAGTTGAAGGATTAAGTATTCCCATCCGTCAATGTTGAGAGGTTTGGACAATATATTTGATTTCACATTTTCTAGTTGCTCAAGTAAGAAAAAGAAACACAGAATTCTATCGTTTTCATGTACTGACAACCGGAAGCATACAAACATCTGCAGAAACCAAACATTTCCTGGAACTAACTCGAGCAGAAATTTATCACGTGAATCATTGTTTAAAGAACCTTGTGAAAAATATCTTCAACCACAGTTATGTGAAAGACCCAGGGGTGCAGCTCACGTGGACTGGGCTCTCCAGAGTCTGAGGAGGCTGCGGGAACCAGGGCTGGGAGGTGCGTGCGCCACAGGGCTGGGGGCGGTGGCTTTGGGAGCGCGGAATCCAGCACCTCTGCCGCGGGGAAACGCCAGTAAGGAAGGGGCTTAAGAAATCTCGATCGTCAATAGCACCCTTCTGTTGTTTGTTTCTCTAAATATTTGGTGTCGTCGGCGTGGATTTTGTATCAGTGCTGATTTTATTCTCTTGGTCCTCAAGTTCTCAGACAAATGCTTTCAGTAGAGATGTTTTATTCTGTAGATTAATGTGACGTTTTTAAGCTTTGAAGGACGCAAGCAACATTTCTTACGGAATTTCAAGAGCTGGGCTTGTATTTTTGACCATTCAGAAGTCTAGTGCACTTCAGAGTGAAGGTCAACAAGGGAATCTTTTTTTTTTCTTTTTTCCTGAAGGAGCATCTGCTCATTAATATAAGTTTTCATAACAGTAATTTGTGACTTCGCAACTTAACGTGACATGGAAGAAACAGCTTTTGCCTGAAATATTTAAGGGCCAGATATAACAAACTATTCATCTTTTCCATGAAAAACTTCAGTATCGTCATCATAGTGCAATTTCTTTAAAGAATGCTTGTATCCCTTGGATCTGCTAGGGTGAATTAACTGAAAAAATTTTAAAGCACTTAAGCCTGTCCTGTAGGTTATAAGGTGACCTTTACATGTTTACCAGATACAATAGTTTTAATATAGATGTTGATTATTAGCTGCTCATTTTGGTAAAAACTGACCAATGCTTCTTAAGATTGAGTCACAAACGTCTGGCACGTAAGAAGGTGTGGTACTGGGCTTTAGGAAGGCGTCTTGGGGGGGGGGTTGAAGTCTGGTGATATATACCTATCATACAAGTCTATTATAAGGATTACATATGATAATGTGGATAAAATGCCTGGTACATAGTAAGTACTTAATAAATGTTAGTTCATCATCCTCTCATGTTATTGATGATGGCCATACGTTAAAGTTCTTCCAGAATTTTTATGCTGGATCATAATATATATATATTTTTAGGCATGTTGGGATCTATCCTGATTTTAGCAGTGTTGTTTTATAGATACTTAAGAAAGCACTAATAACATGTGTTGAAAATGTATAGTCTCATTAAATTATAGAATGATGATAATTTAAAAAATAATGCAAATGGTTTTGAATTTCTTGGTGGAATGAGACAAGGTTTAACAGTGTTCGAGAGTAGAATAATTGTATCAGAATTCAACTTGCTCCAGGTTTATCTGTGGAATATAATTTATCACATAAAGATACTGCATTGATAAAATATTCTTACGTGGAGTCCAGTAAGAAGCAAGAGGAGGTTGGAGTCTGGGGATTGGAAATGGAAGTGTGTGCAGGCTGATGCAGCCTGTAGGAGTCATAGAACTCTTGGAAGACAGGCTTACTCATGAAAAGGACCTTGGAAACATTTGGCTCTCGGCTGAGAAGTGCCTTTGAGAGAGTTAAAGCGTTAATAGATATACCCCAGAAGTTGAAAGAAGAACTTTGTAAAAAGAAAGCAGCCAGAGCTGGGCTCTCGGTCACTGTTCTTCCTGCCATCCAATCTAAGCCCCCGCATGGCTATGAGGTCCCCCTACAGACGGTGCAGCAAATAACGTAAGAGTGAGAGCTCCAGAGCAACAATGCTCACACAATGCAGAGCATTAATAAGTAAGCATACACCTCCCCGGAGGAGGGAGCGGCTGGGTAGTTGCAGTGTAAGTTGAGGGAGCTGGTATTGATAGTTGAGACCCAGATGTCATATTTTAAGATGTTCTGCTTAAGTTTTAAAGTTAGTAACATTCATATAATATAGGAAACTAAAATTTCAGTGGGAAATACAACATATCAATGATGAAATTATATTAAGACTTTGTGTGCAAGTTACTGTGCAAAATTTAATTGTAACTGCGTGGTCCTTGCTCTCCAAGAGCTTGCTGTTAAGAGCAGTAGAGTCTGGAGATTTAGTTAAATTGCCTATCCATGATATTGTTTTCACCCATTTTTTATTCAGTAAATATATATTTGGAGACCTGTTAGGTGCCAGGCATTTTCATGCCACCGGAGGGATACGGTATTGAACAAAACAAAAAATTTTCCCCTTAAGAAGCTTAAATTCTGCAGGCGGAAGAGAAAAAAAGAAAAATGATTTTTATTCTGATGAGAAGGGAAACGGTGGGTTTTGGGGAGTGGCATGATCTGATTTTTTTTTTTTTTTTAATCTATATGACTCTGGCCTTTTGTTTTGAGAATAGTATGCAGTGAGGCAAGGAAAGAATCCACCGGGGGACTATTGCAATAATCTAGATAGGGATGGTGGAGGCTTAGATGGCAGTTGTGGTGGTGGAAGTAGGGAGAAGTAGGGAGAATTTAGATATATTTTTAAGGTAGAGCCAATGGGATTCGCTGATGGCTTGGTTACAGGGTGTTAGGGAAAGAGAAAAGTCAGGGATGACTTGGAGGGTTGAGTTGTCATTTACTAACATGGGGGATCCTGTAGGAGCATCAGCCTTAGGTGGGAACATCAGGAATTTGTCATGAGGTGACGTTAAGTGTGAGATGTCTCTTAGACATCTGGGAGTGATGTCAAGCAGGCAGCTGAAAATATGCGCCTTGAGTTCGTTCAGGGAAGAGGTTTGGGCTCTTGTAGGTGGTATTTAAAGTGATGAGACCTATTGGGACGACCAAGGGGAGGGAGTATAGATAGAAAAGAAGACGGAGAACTGAGAGCCTTGGGTCACTCTAACATCAAGAGGCTGAGATAATGAGAAGTCTAAGAAGGAGTGGCCAGTGAAGGAGGAGGAGAGGCAGCAGTGTGGTGTCCTGTCCTGGAAACCAAACAAGAAAGTGTTTAAAAAAAGAGAGGATCCTCCCTCTGGGGATAGCAAATGGTACCTGCCTCAGAGGTGGCTGTGATGAACTGTTTAAATGGATGAGAGAATTCATTAAAGTGCCTGCCTCAGTACCTGGCTACTGGGTGGTTCAAGGTGGAAGTCATTGGTGACTTAACAAGAGCAGTTTCAGGGAAGTGGTGGGGATAAAAGCCTGGTTGGAATGGGTTCAAGTAAGAATGGGAGGAAAGAATTGGAGGCAGCAGGTATAGTCAGCTCTTCTGAGTATTCCTATGAAATTACATTAGAGAAATGGGGAATTGATTCATGGGAATGTGGGGTCAGGAGAAAGGTGTGTGTGTGTGTGTGTGTGTGTGTGTGTGTGTGTGTGTGTGTCTGTCTGTCTCTTTCTTTTAGGTTGGGAGAAAGTACAGACTGTTAAATGCTGATGAGAATAATCCTGTATGGGGGAAAGCTTGATGATGTAGTTGGATTTAAGATAATGAGTTGTTTTGACCATAGGTAACAGGTTGGTGGAAATAACTAGATTGTCCTTTGTCTCTTTACCTTTTCTTCTCAGTCTTTCATTCATTCATTTATCAAATATTTACTGAAGGTTCACAAGGTGCCAAGGATCAAGCCAGGGGCTGGGTAAAAAACAGTTGATTAAGGGGTGAATCAAACAAACAATCTATACACTCTCTGGTGGAGTTTTTACTGTCTGGTGGAGACGGGCTTCCTAAAAACACACAAATAAATACAGATTTCAATGAATGCTTCGTAGGAAAAGTATGGAGTACTTTTGAGAGAGAGAGAATGCCTTGGTGTACTTTAGATTGGGTGGCATTCGAAGGCCTCTCAGATAGGAAAGATGGTCCTAGGAGAAAAGATGGACTGAAAAGAAAAGCATTCCAAGCAGAGGGAACAGAGCATGCAAAGACCTGGAGCAGGGGAGAACTTGGTGCTTTGGAGGATTTGAGAGGTCATCAGTATGGCCTGAGAGGTAGGAAGGGACCAGGTTGTGCAGGACTTTGGAGGCCTTCTAAGATTTGGGATTATATCCTAATAGCAATGGGAAGCTGTTGAAAACTTTTTAGGTGGGAAGTGACATGATAAGTTTGCATTGGTGGAAAAAACTACCTGTGCTGCACTGTCATGGTGAATGCATTGGAGGCAGCAAGAGTGGGAAAAAAGAACTCCAATTTAGGCAAAAAGAGAGTATCTGTAAAATAGTGAGACTGAGATATTTACAGTTTTCTTATAAAAAAAATAGAATTGAGTATATCCTCTACTTAGCAGAATTTGCTTTGAGCTTACCAGGTTTCTCAGCACATGCAAAGAGAGCATTTTCTTGTTAAAAATAATATCAACACAGAAGATGAAGATGTCAGTGATTTGAGATTGCTTAACATAAAATGAAACTTTAAAAAAGATTGCAGTAACTTGGTGAAAAATTTCAAATAATAAACTTTTTTTTCCGGAAAAAATACCAGTGACACAATATTAGAGACAGACTCTTTAAGAAAATGGATTAAAGTACTGAATATACACCAAGAATACTTAATCTACTTATGATATTTTAAGTGTTCACATAATATAAAGAAACCTTAAATTTTTTGCTTTAATGTAGCAGATGTACATTATTTTTACTTTATTTTTAGAAAAAAAACCTGTATAATAAAAACAGTTTATTGATTAATAAATAAATATTTCAAAAGCTCCCCTTGGGCTTCCCTGGTGGCGCAGTGGTTGAGAGTCCGCCTGCTGATGCAGGGGACATGGGTCCAGGAGGATCCCACATGCCTTGGAGCGGCTGGGCCCGTGAGCCGTGGCCGCTGAGCCTGCACGTCCGGAGCCTGTGCTCCGCAATGGGAGAGGCCACAACAGTGAGAGGTCTGCGTACTGCAAAAAAAAAAAAAAAAAGTTCCCCTTTTCACTTTCAAAAGTATCTTAGTGTTTTGATAAATTATGTGATTAGAGATAGAGGATCTCTCCAGTTGAAGGGTCAGACTGGTAAAAAAGCCATCAAGTTATAGTACAGGATGCATATTTTATTGCGCTAATTTAGACTTCCTCCCAAAGAGATTTCTTAAAACAGAAGGGCAGTTGTAATACCAAGTATCGCTATATCAGGTCACCCACAACTCCAGGGTCATGAATTAACTTGTTGTGAGCTCTCACTTTAAAAAAAAAAAAAAGAAAAGAAAAGAAGAAACAGAAGTTACTCCCTATCTAGACAAGCCACTCCTGAGAGTTCTATCTTGGCTGTAACTCGAGTTTTCTTTCTCACACTGGCATTTTATTTATGCTTTTCAGGGTGAAAAGAGTTGGGATATTTTATCATCTGGAGTTTCTCTGCCTCGCTGATGATCTAAGCTCAAACCTGCCAGTTTATGGGAGATGATAGAAAACACCCTCGAACATCTGAGTAAGTAGATGCTGCGGTGTGTTTTGATTTACTGCTTTAAAAAAAAAAAAAAAAAGGATAATTTTGTGACTTTAAAGTTTTAAATTATCAGGTACTTTAATTGGGTTCTTTAAATTTTGTTGTTGAATAGTGATGTCAATTATTATAATTCCAATAAGTGAATATTTTTAAATAATGGGATTCTGGAAGAAATTAATCCCCTGATGATAAAAAAAAAAAAAAAGTTAATGAAAACATTTTCCATTAGCTTTTAAGGAACATATTGAGGACCTAAATGTATATATTAAAAATTTAAGAGCACTCTCCTTAGTGCTTTATTTCACTTTTATATTATGAATGTAAAAATATTGGTAAGACAACTGTTATGAATTTTTTAAATGCAACTCTATATAAAAATTGTATTTTAATATGGAGTGTATTTTGGCTAACTTGAAATAAATACTGGTTTGTTTCTTGGAAGTAGAATTTTAGAAGTTCTTTCTATTTGAAAATAAAGATTTTTTTCCCTTCTAATATAGATAAGATTACAAAATTTCTCTGGATTTTGACTTTGTTTCTTAATTAAAGAGACTGAGAAAGAAGGGCATTCATTCTTTCTAATTAAAACTTCTGAGTGAATTTTAAAGAGTTGAGCCAGTCATTTTGATATAAACTGTTTTTCAGAATGAAAGCTACTAGTTCTCTTATATCCATTGAATCTCTTTTGACAAAACTAGGAAACTGAGGCTGTACCAGGGCCTTTTTTGGAATGCTGAGGTGAATACAATTAATAAATACACAAGATTGCTTCCCACTACAATGGGGTTATTTAACTTTGGTCTGTATCTGAGCTGTTCAGTATAGTAGCCAATAGTAGCTATTGACATTTGAAATGTGGCTGGTCCCAGTTGAGATGTGCTGTGCATAAAATACACACCACATTTCAAGACTTAGTATGAAAAAAAGACTAAATATTTTATTAATAATTTTTGTATGAATCATGTTGAAATGATAATATTTTGGATATATTGAGTGAAACAAAATATTATTAAAATTAATTTCACTTGTTTTCTTTTACTTTTTTTTTTTAATGTGGCTGCTAGATAATTGTAAATTACTTGTGGCTTACATTATATTTCCAGTGAACAGAACTGGCCTGTTGTATATGATCAACATGCTTAGTCATCCATTACTCAACATTCTGTAAGCCTTGACCCTTCTGGGCTGTGTATGGATCAATTAATATAAATCTATATTGTTTTAAGAATATGATTCTTTGATTTATCAAATATTTACTGAGTACCTGCTATATGCCAGACAGTCCTCTAGGTACTGGTGTTAACAGTAGTGAACAAAATAAACAAAACTTCCTGCCTTCATGGAGTTAACATTCCATTAGTGAAACTAGACTAAAAACATAAATAAGTAAAATATATAATCTATTTGAAGGCTTTGGAGAAAATGCAAGGGGAGGGGTTCAATTCTAAATAGATTGTTCAGGGAAGGCCTCACTGAATAGGTGTTATTTGAGCAAAGACTTGAAGAAGGTGAGAGAAAGAGCCCTGTAGATATTTGGGGGAAGAGTGTTCTAGGCAGAGGGAATAGCAGGATTGTGCCTGGCTTGTTTGAATTGTAGGAGGCGAGGTGATTGATTGGAGGGAAGTGAGTGATGGGGAGAGAAGATGAAAGGTAATGGATGGTAACATCATGTGAGCACTGGTTATTGTCTATGCAGACACAGAGGTAACCTCTAGGGAACCAGGCCAGAAAACAGAAATAGGAATTTTAAAAACAAAGCAAAGGTATCAGAGGCTACACTTCATGGGGGGAAGACAGAGTCTACAGTTTAAGTTCAAGCTACTTACTAAAAGAACCATCAGCCCTTAGAAAACTGAGATCTGTCCACTGATGACTGGATGAATAAAATGCAGTATATCCATGTAATGGAATACTATTGGGCAGTAAAAATGAATGAAGTACTCATGCATACTGCAACATGCATGAGCCTTGAAAACATACTAAGTGAAAGAAGACAGTCACAAAAGGTCACATATTATATGATTCCATTTATATGAAATGCCAAGAATATACAAGTCCATTCATATAGCATCCAAAAAACCAAAATACTTTGGAATAAATTTAACAAGAGAACTGTAAGTCCTACATACTGAAAACCACAAAATTTTGTTGAGAGAAATTAAAGTATCCCTAAATAAGTGGGAATAAATGGAAGATTCTGTATTGGTGATGTGGCAGTTTTCTCCAAATTGATCTGGAGGTTCAACAAAGTCATTGCCAAAGTCTCAGACAGGATTTTTGTAGAAATATATTTATAGAAATTGGCAAACAGATTCTAAAATTTATATGGAAATGCAGAAGATCTAGAATAGTCAAAGTAACTTCAAAAAAGAAGGAAGTTGGGAAAAAAAGAAGAAAGTTGGAGGACTTATATTACCTGTTTTCAAAACTTATCATAAAGCTATAATAATAAGAACAGTGTAGTATTTGCATACGGATAAACATGTAGATCAGTGGAACAAAATATCTAGAAATAGATACATATGTGGTCAGTTGCTTTTCAGCAAAGGTACTAAGGTAATCCTATAGGGACAGCATAGTCCTTTCAGTAAACAGCGCTGCAGCAATTGGATTTCCACGTGAAATAAAATGTACCTTGACATTTAGCTTACAATATACACAAAAATAACTTACAATGGATCACAGACCAACATGTAAAGAAGCAAACATAGCAGAAAGTCTTGTGTTCTGGGTTAGACAAAGATTTAGTCAATAGGATATAAAAAGCATGAAGTATTAAAAAAATGATAAATTGGACTTCATCAGAATTAAAGTTTTACTTTTCAGAAGATACCATTCTTAAGAAAATGAAAAGTCAAGCCACATAACTAGGAGAAAATATTTACAAAACGTATGTCTGATAAAGGATTTGTATGTAGAAAAAAAATAAAGAACTCTTAAAATTCAGTCATAAGACAGCAATCCGATTTAAATATGTACAAAAGATTTGAAGAGTCATTTCACCAAAAAAGATATATGAATGGCAAATAAACACAAGGAAAGAGTTTCAACATCATTAGTCGTTAGGGAAATGCAAATTAAAGCCATAATGATATATTGCTGCACACCCACTATAATGGCTAAAATTAAAAAGACTAACAATCCGTGTGTTGGCAAGGATGTGGAGAAACCAGAATCCCCACCCATTGCTGATTGGAATATAAAGTGGTACAGGTATGTTGGAAAGCAGTTTGGCAGTTGCTTAAAAAGTTCAACATACACTTAACAAATTATCTAGCAATTCCATTCCTATAAATACATTGTCAGGAGAGATAACAGCATATGTCCATACAAAGACTTGTATACAGTGTTCATAGAAGCTTTATTTGTGATTGCCAAAAACTGGAAATAATGTAAGCATCCATCAGCAGATGAATATATAAATCCATACACTGGAATGCTGTTCAACAATGAAAAGGATTGGACTATTCATATATACAATGGCATGGATGAATCTCAAAATAATTATGCAGTATGAAAAAAAAGCCAGATTCCCCCCGCCCCCAAGTGCCATACTGTCTGATTCCATTTAATTGAAATTCTAGAAAATGCAAACTAATCTATAGTGACAGAGAGCAGATCCATGGTTGCCTGAGGATGGCTCAGGAGAGGAGGGAGAGAAGGATTCCAAAGGAAGGGGCACAATGAAACCCTGGGGTGATGTATATATTCATTATCTTGATTATGCATAGTAGCTTCATGGGTGTATACATACATCAGAATTCATCAAATTGTATACTTAAATATGTGCAGTTTATTGTATATCAGTTACACCTCAATAAGGTTGTAAAAAAATTATGTCCATTCAAAAACCAAGCATATGTTCATAGCAGCTTATTCACAGTAGACAAAAACTGAAAACAATCCAAATCCATCAGCTGGTGAATGGATAAACAAAATGTGTGATATCCACACAATGGAATATTATTCAGTCATGAAAAAGAATGAACTCCTAATTCATGCTACATAGTACAACATGGATGGACCTCAAAAACGTTATGCTGGTTGAAAGAAGCCAGAAACAAAGGACTGTATGTTGTATAATGCTATTTATATGAAATTGTAAGAAAAGGCAAAACCATAGATTAGATCAGTGGTTGCCTGGGGCCAGAGGTGGAAGCAGAGTTTGGCTGTAAACAGGTAGGAGGGAGCTGTTGGGATGATGGAAGTATTCTCATTGGCAGTCGTGCGGCTGTTTATGTATAAACTTACTGAAACTCTTCTGATTGTACTATTAAAATGGATGACTTTCATGGCATATAAATTATACCTCAATAAAGCCATTAAAAATGGGTGGCCACTCAAAATTTTAAATGCTCTTTAAGAGGACCGTTCAAGAAATGGGACAGTATTGCTGATTTCATTGAACTCTAGTGCTTTGGAATACTTTGGTGAGACCTATTGAATTAATTTCTATGTCAGATGTTCTTTGAATTCTAATTGTGAAACAGAAATCATTATTAGTTGTCTTTCCCAGAATTTAGTGACCAGTAACAGCTGCAGTTCCCTTGCATGTGAACATTGATTTAGAATGATTGGCTTTATGTTTAACAACGATTAACACCACCCACCACCACCACCCCCCTCCCCCGGCCAGAAGAAATGGTAGTTTCTTAGATTGATACTCTGTTTGTGCACAGTAGTTCAAAAGTGTAGGTTATCCTCCACCTCTCATTTCTTCACAAAGGAAACTGATGACAGCTTAACACCTTTGCATTTTTTAGATGCAGAGAGGCACACCCTTCTAGGTGCCCACCCACCTGTCCCCAACACCATATATGTGGAGACAGCAAGTAATCTGGACATAAGGTCCTTGGGAATGGGAGGTAGAGTGCAACCGAGAGAGCTCCCCTGGAGCACTTTGCAGCTGGGTATGGCCATGTTCTGCACCAGAGTACGAATCAAGATCTCTGGGGAGACTGAATTTTACTTCCTTAGATAAA